GAGAGAGAGAGGGGAGGGGGAGTGGGGCAGGCGTTGAGTATCTAATAACGATAAAGTAAAGAAAATAAAGAGTTTCAACCAAACAGAACAAAACCTCTTTTTAAAAATAAGACAAAGACGAAAGGTGTTAAAATATTGTAGTAAACAACAACAAAAATCATAAAAATTACAAAAAGAATAGCAGAGTAATAACCACAAGGTACTCACCTTTACTAGAATGAGTGTGTAACCAAAAAGAATTATATCCAAGGGCATGAAAAAAAAAATCCATGATCATAGAATATGACAGCAGCCTTTGCTGTCCTTGAGCGGGCTAGAGTTCATCTCGCGGACAATCTCAATAAACACCTCGTTGACATTGTTTGTGCTTTTGGCCGAAGTCTCCAGGAAGGGACAGCCCCAGTGCTGAGCCAGAGCCGCGCCGTCAGCCGCAGAGACCTCCCTCTGGGAGTCAAGGTCACTCTTGTTGCCTACGAGGATAATGGGGATGCGGTCAACGCCCTTCACCCGCTGTATCTGCTCTCGCATCGTCTTGATGTCCTGAAACGTCTGCACGCTGATGATGCTGTAAACGATGACAAAACCCTGACCGTTCTTGATGTAGAGGTCACGCATGGAGGCAAACTGCTCCGTGCCGGCTGTGTCAAGGATCTCCAGGACAGAAGGCGCCGTGTCCACCTCGATCTCCTTACGGTAGAAATCCTCGATGGTCGGGTCATACTTCTCCATGAAGGTCCCCGAGACGAATTTGACGGTGAGGGCGCTCTTGCCCACACCGCCGCTGCCTAAAACTACGACTTTGTACTCCTTCATATTAACCATGCAGTGATCACAAGGGGCGGTGCAAAAGGCATCAATAGATGCGTTCTGGAATGAGAAGCGGTACCGTCTCAAGTAAAGATACTTTGTTGACCCCTTGCTTCAAATGAATAGTCAGTCAGCGTCTACAGATCAGTGTGCCATAAGACACAGACACAGGATTTACACAGCTGCTCCTTCCGGCCTGTAACCTGAAACCAAAGGGAAAAAAAAAAATAAACAATGCGTTTTGCTTCTAATTATAAGTTAAAGCTTTTCCAGCACAGAAGACACCACACCCATCAGGTAAGACATGTGGAAAAAAGAAGAAAAGAGACAGTGATAAAAGGAAGAAAGCGAGCTAATCCCTCAGAAAACCAATTATGAAACTTCATCTACCCACACTTGGTTCTCCATCAAAGTATCAATCTTAATTTGTTTCAAAATACATGTTATTTTCTTTTTTCATTAACTGCTGTACATTGAGAATAACATCTGTTGATACAAACACACTGAATCAATACAAAGAAAAGATTAGAAAGTTCTGTAAAAAAAAATGACTCATGATGAACTAGATGGTTTTAATTAGTATAGAAAGGGTCTCTGTCTCCTTCCTGCTCTCTCCACTGTCAAGAAAACACAAAAATAGCAACATACACTCCCATTATATCCAGGGGTCCTTTAATAAACAAGCGACATGTGCCTTAACCTTCCTCTCCAACAGCAAGCAAGAAACTTTACCAATGACTTCCCATGCTTTTGTTCTTGAAATGGTGATAACTCAGATTTATAACTGAAGGCGCATAAAGAAAAGTTTTAAGCATCCTTTGAACAAAGTGCTTGTTGAAACAAACAAGACACAATGAAGGTAAAAACTTTTCGTAGAGTTACACATTCATAATGTTAGGGTTGTTGAGGTTTTTAATGTCGTAAAATTGTTTTTTTAAGTGTCAAAGTCAAAGTAGGATTTTCTGTATTTTCATTTACAAAGTCCTTTCTAAAGGCTTTCCACTTTCATAATGCAGTGTGAGTGTCACAGCAAACGTTTTAAGAGAACGACAGTTTATTTGAAGCCTGGCTGATAGAATAGCCAACAATGCTTTTATGTGTCCACTTTTGATACCGTACACTTCAGCAGCAACTAATGAAGGCTAGATCAGTCGTCAAAGATTATGTGATGATCAGTGTTAACATTTTTGATAAACATAAACATTACTAACAATTTTTGAAAAAAGACAGTTTATTAAGCAAATTTTGACTTTATTAAAATTGGCTTATTGATCTTCACAATAACACACTGTGGCAAAAAAACCAACCCAACTTACTCTTGCAATCAAAAGAGTTACAGAGCATTTGGACAATTCTGTTCGTAATGTCCATCCCACAGGGAACCACTTACCTGCAATCCCCATATAACCAACCGTACAGGTAAGTACAGCAAACACACTGATACTAAAAATCCTTCTATATACACCGAGATAAAAGGTCACCTGATAACTTAATTTAGAGAACAACTTACAATCTGAAGAACTACAATCTTCATCACGAGGACATTTCTATCAAGTTGACCACTCAAAACCTGCATTATGACAAACTGATAACATACACCTCTTGACTATTCCCACCACATCTTGGGTTCATTGTCGACTAATACAGGCAGTAATCAAGAACAATGACTAAGACTACACCGTAAAAACAGGTCATCATCATAAATAAGACACACTGATAAGCCGGCACAAATGGTCAAAAGGATGTAACCTTTACTTTACAAGCACCACTTAGGTTAAATGTGAAGATGTGGTGCATTGAGTTTCTAAAGGCCATAAGCATACTTCTCTGAGGTGAATAAACTTGTAAAAGTAGCTAGAAGCCTCTTGTCTTTGGTTGATAAAAATTAGTTGTATTACACAAAACTTAATAACATTATTAATAGTGCGAAGATAAGATTGGAAACACCTTGAAAAGTGGGTCAAAGGCACCATCACAATTATCATATATATTTCTTCACCAGCTCTATCTTTAATGAAGGAGTCTTTGTCTACAGCAACACTATATAAAAGAAGACCTCTACCACCAGAAATCCTTCAAAATCTACAGATTTTACTTTATCATAAACATGGATGATTACATAATATATAAATTACTATATTGATCTAATTCACTACACAGAAACAAAACAGGAGATCTATACTCTATAGCTTTGTCTGTGACAGATCATCATCTCACTTTCCTTTCACAGCACAAAAAAGAGAGTACGGATAAATGAACTTTCTATACACATGTATAATAAATAAATATTTTATGAAACAAATTCAAACAATCCATTTCATAATTGTGAAAATAATAAAGCTCACCTTCTAAAAGACTTAAATACTATTTTCTTCTTATCGTTTAAATACTGCGAGTGCTGCTACCATTGAATTAAATGAACATAGAACTTTGGCAAAAACAGAACTACCAAATGATTTCCTGCACTGAAAGACAACAAAAAAGTTGACATCAAGCTAATCAAAATGTCAAATCACATCAAATTGATAAAAGTACTCTCACTTGACTTAAAATGTCGTGTTGGGCACACACCTCATGATTTATCAGAACAAAAAAAGTGTACAACATCAAGCAAATGATAACATTCCAGGCATGATCTGCTCCTTCTAGAGCAGAGTGGGTGGTGGTCCTGGTGATGCAGACATAAAGTTTGAGAGTTAATTTCCATACCAAGTAATGGTAAGTTCCTTAGTTCAGGGTCAATTTCCAGGGAGAGACAGCCAACAATGAACAGGGTTTGCCATCAAGTTTTAGTTTAGTTGTGACTGAACTGACCACTTGACATAAATTAATTTATCTAGCCATTTACAGTAATTTTTTTTTTACTTTCGGGGGCTACTTCGCCACGCAAAATGAACAATAAACAAACCAGAAAATATTATTATCATGAGGTGGATTTAAAAGTAAATTAATACTCAGTGTATAATTCCTGTTTCAGGACAGATCTGGTTGGAGTTGTGCAAAAATCTTTTTATTACTTACAAACAATACTTTCAAGTTGACAATGACACAAAAATGTAGATTTGTAACTTCCAAGGACACTGCAGCTTTGGAAGACATCAACTTTTGGCGGATATTTTCTAGATTATTTTTTTTAAATACTTGTTCAAACGCATATTATTTTATTAAATTCTACTCTATAAATGTTCCCTTGCTGTGTTGCGCTGGGAATCAATCAATTGACAAGATCCTGACGCCTTGCAAATGTTCGAACAAGCCACATTTTTGTTATAAAATGTATAGGTAGGTATTTAGTCTTTCTGACTAACATCATTAGAAATCATGTGTGTGAGTGTGTGTGTGTGTGTGTGTGTGCGTGTGTGTGTGTGTGTAAATGTGTACATGATGTGTGTGTGGTGTGTGTATGCGAGAGGCGTAGGTGTGTACAGATTACAACCCCTCCCCTAAAAATTCTGTTAGCAGCAACCTCCACTCTACAGCACAGAAAAGTTTACTTCCAAATGAGGTTTAGCTGTTCGGTGGCCACCACTTACAATACAACACACATGCCTCACAAGTCAAAAGAAATTTAGAAATCTTGTCCACAGGAAATCATAGAGAGAGGTTTACCAAAAACAAAACAAAAAATCATTTAAAGGCTTACGTGGAAAGCTACCCAATGATTATTTTATGATTTGGTACCACAAAGGCCTCTTTTGCAACTTTTAAAACAAAACAATTCAGTTTGATCTAAAAAAAATTAAAAACACATGATCAACTAGAAAGCGACTTTTAGAAATGGGAATTAATTTACTTCAATAAATAGTTTTCAGGTTAAAGATCCAAGCCTTGCCTTTTCCACACTCTCCTCTTGACCCTTCTGTATTCCTCTAGGTGTATCAGTCGGTTTGTTTTTTAAAGTAAGACGTGATGTCATGCTTACTTTTAAAACCAGTTTCAATTTATAAATGAAATATACAGATCTAGATTTCTAGTAATAATAATGAATGGATTAAGTTTTTCCTAGGGGATCGAAACATCGAAACAAAGGTGAACAATGCCCACTCGTCAAGAGAAGTACTCGAGGAGGGCCTACCCCAAGGTTCCTGTCTGAGTTGAACTTTGTTCCTGATCTTCATTAATGATGTGACGAACATGCTGAAATCAGAAAAGACTCTACGCTGATGATCTTGCTCTCTGGCAGACACATCACAGCACGGTAGTAGGAGCAGGAAAATTAAATGAAGACCTCATGAGGCTCCACAATTACTGTCAGAAATGGAAGCTCAAAATAAACTGCTCGAAAACAGTATACACCATCTTTACAAAGAGCCATATAAAACAGCCAAAGAAAAACTCCAACTGAAGATAGGAAATGAAAATCTCCCCAAAGAAGAACAACCAACGTATCTAGGAGTCAAACTTGACCAAAGTCTAACAATGAAAAGCCAAGTGGAGAGCATAAAAAACAAGGTGAAAAGAAGATTCCAACTTTAAAAGAAACTCGCAAGCAGTTCATGGGGATCAGACAAACAAACTCAGAGAGCTCTATACCTTGGTTATGTCCGATCTTCCCTGGAATACAGCAATAGCCTACTCACTATGTGTAGTGCAACTACTTGCAATACCCTTGACAAGGTCCAAAATAATGCCCTTCATTTCATAAATGGTGGCATGAGATCTACACCTACTGCCGCATGTGAAATTCTGTCAAATGTTGAACCCCTGGGAATACGCAGAGATAAAGCAGTTATGGAGCTCCATGAAAGAACCAAAAGAATGTGCCCCAACCACCCAAACCGGAAATTAGTAGAAACATAATGGAAACCAAAGAAACGACTTTAACAAAAATCAGTCACGCATTGCATCACAGAACTAATTGAGAGCCACCATCTACCACAAAACAGAAGAGAAACCAAAAGAGTCAACCAAAACATCCCTCCCCACATTTCTCTATGGAAAAACCAATCATTAAAACTTCTCTCAGAGACAATAGCACAAAATCTTCAGACCCAGTGATGTTGATGCTTGCATCACATTAAACAATCGACAGCTATTCAGATGACTGGATACACGTCTATACAGATTTCTCAGCATTCAAAGGCACAAACCAAAGCTGATGGAATACTACCAGATGGAAGTTCCAATGAGATCTCTGCAACCTGTGGAGAGAAATGCAACAACTACGACGCAGAAATGATAACAATTGAAACAGCACTATAGATACCATCTCCGCACAGTTTTTGACACTCATAAAAAAAAACCCACAGAGTATAGTGATCTTCACTGACTCACTATCAGTCTTGCAAGCAATAGAAAATGATCCCCATCTAAACGAAGACTTGACAATGATATATATACTGTTTGGCTCCCATCATCTGATAACATTCTATGGCGTCAACCTGGTGATGCATGGATTCCCGGACACTCAAACATACCTGGAAATGACAGAGCAGACACACTCGCCAAAAGGGGATCTAGACAGGAACAACCCAACATTCCAACTTCATACAAACACTGCAAAACAAATCATTAAAAGCAACAGCAAACAAGATTGGAAGAACAGATGCGCATTGGGAAAGACAGGCAGAGCAGTTTTCAAACATATGACTACAACAAAACGAAATGACAATATCAACCACCTACAGAGAAAGAAACAGACCACGATCTTCCGCCTTCGAACAGAACATCACTCAACTTTCACTTGAACAGAATAAAGAATAAAACCAGCACTTCCCCCGCCCAATTTGTGTCCTTTGTGTGACTCTATGCATGAGACAGTGGAACATCACCTTTTCCACTGTACAGCTCTAAATGACATCAGAGCTACCCTTCTCCCTCCGAGACCTAACTTCGACAACACACTCTATGGAACATTACAGCAACTGCAGCAAACCTGCACTTATCACTATGGCCTATGGCATTGGACAGAAGGGCGAGAGCCCAGATGTTGCTGGATCAATAACAACAACAACAAAAACAAGTAATAATAAAATGAATATTAATAATATTAATAATAAAATAAATATAGCAAGATTAGGAATAAATTGTACCAATTAGATCTAGAACTTCATTATAAAAATAACTCACAGTATCAGTAGCAGCAGACTACATGGTCATTGGAGTGAAGATGGCCAACGCCAACAGCAAAACCCAGAAACAAAAAAACCTGAGAGAAGCCAGTCGCTAAAAGGTCTTGTCTAGATGAATTGTTTGTCTTTGACAATATCCTAGACTTAGAAAACAGTAAAGTAGGGAGGACTTCCGTAACGAGCAACCACTAGAAATATAGATCTAGACTAGATCTAGATCTAGATCCAAGACAGAGCAAGAATTTCTTATTTAGGGGTAGGGGTAGACTAGGGCTAGGGGTATGGGTAGGGGTAAGGTTTGGGTTAGGGTTAGGGTTAGGCCTCTTCTTTATTGTGTTTGTTGATGGGGTGGTCGCTCGTTACGGAAGTCCTTCCCTTGATTTTGGATCTTCAATTTCAATTAATTAATAAATCACAATCAGCAACAATCCCAATGCCAATAAAAATAAATGTGAATTTTTCAACTTTCTATGCCATGCACAATTCACAACAAACAGAATCTACAGCTCACCATAGGAAAGTCAACACTATCAAAGCTCCCTTAACATTGGACACGAGTATAAAAGAATTGCGTTGTATTGAAGGACGGGTGGTCGTCGCAGGAGGACAATCAAGGAGTGGCTGAATATGCCTGACTAATCCGCCCCGTCTCCCTTCCGTGTCACCGCTTTGCCTTGGCTACTTTTCTTTGTCAATCATGAACCAGGAAACGTAAAATCACCGCACAGTAGAGTAGTAGACCAAAAAAAAATACATACTAGAGAGGAATAAACAAATTACTGACCTGATTCCCAAATCACAAATCTGCATAGAGGAGGCTCAAATACACACCCGTTACAAAGAAGTTGATGCACAACATAGTCACTGATCAAGGAAGCGACTGAACGCCATTTTGGGTGGGCCGTAGTTAGCCATGAAAGTAGACGGTGAACAGGAAGAATTTTCACCCCCAAAAGAAATACAAAAAAGTAAACGGTGCAGTTGGCCTTTCAAAGTTATGAAACTAGTATGAATAAGCTGAAAAGGTACCGAAAAAAACAGAAACAAACCCTTCTACGAAGTTATCTGCATCAGATTTAAGATCTGCAGTTCCAAAACAACAATTCAGTATGTTCAAACATTGGAGAAAAAAAATTTATGTTCAAGAATAAGAACAACAGCTGTATTTTGTTTTCAAAGTATTTGTATACATTTAGATCAAGTACATTTTGTACGTTTAACACACATGAGAGTGAAATGACATTTTAAGTTCAGCTGGTATCGGATAAACAATACTGGACATGTTTTCTTAATCTACTCCGGAAGAACATTTGAGACATCTTGAACAAACGAGCTCCGCTGTGAATTTCAGGGGAAATTACAACAACAACAAATTAGATGCCTAAGATTTGTATGATAACCTCCCTTTAAATGTAATACAAACGACCGACGGCTGAAACCGTATCAGCAGTTTGCGGTGTAGTGGTAGCAGTCTGATAGTAGTAGTAGTAGTAGTAGTAGTAGTAGTAGTAGTAGTAGTAGTAGTAGTAGTAGTAGTAGTAGTAGTAGTAGTAGTAGTAGTAGTAGTAGTAGTAGTAGTAGTAGTAGTAGTAGTAGTAGAAGTAGTAGTAGTAGTAGTAGTAGTAGTAGTAGTAGTAGTAGCAGTAGTAGTAGTAGTAGTAGTAGTAGTAGTAACAGGAGGAGGAGGACGAAGAGGAGGAGGAGGAGGAGGAGGAGGAGGAGGAGGACGAGGAGGAAAAGTGGTTAGGTGGCCTAGTGAAAACTCCCAATCGTAGGTCGTGGGTTTTAATCCCATCATTTTGTCATTGGGAAGGGCACTTTACACGAATTTTCCTCTCGTAACTCAGGTGGAAATGGGTACCCAGCAATAGGCTGAAAAATATTGTCAGTTTGTTAGTGTTTGGACGTGTGCAATCCGCAGCTTGCACTGTATGCTTCCTGGAAAGCACTTTCTGAGTGTCATGGTCTTGTTTGTTTGTTTTTGTAAGTGTTTTACGACGCTCGCAACTGCATTTATTAAGGTCATACGAGCGCTCGGGACACATCAAACATTTTCATTTTTGTAGGAAATTTAAAATTTAAAAGTTTACTCTTATCGATTTTGGACCATCAAGAGATCTCTAACGTGCGCAACTTGCACACAAGATCTCCAAGATGTTTTGCCCTTGTCCGAGAGCGCTTGGTGTTAGATCTTTCCTACCATGAGATCAGGGGTGTGGCTGAAAGTACAGCAGTAAGAAGGAGCCTAGGAGAAGCAGTAGAAAGGCTGCAGAATGAGCCAGAAACCCAGAGGAAGGGGGACAAAAGAGGTGATAATAAATATTTTAATAGCAGTGGTAAGGGTGTAGGTATAGTAGTAGTCGTAGTGGTAGTAAGTCTTTAGTGTTAGTGATAGTCAGGCAGCAGTGGTAGTGGTAGTGGTAGTGGTAGTGCAGGAATTGAAGTGGGAGGGGGTGGGGGAGGAGAATCACTCTTAAGAATGAACCTGGAATGAGAAATGTTTCCTTTGTCATGATACATGTTTCAGACAAATGAACTAAGCTCGCAAGTTAGCAAGCGCTCCTTGTAGAAACAACGAGACAATATGTATTAAATCTAAGGGAGGTAAGCTCAACTGGGCGAAAAAATTGAGTGATATTTGCAATGGTGCTTTCCCTTGGCCAGCATTATCTTTCTGTTGACACTTATTTTTCGTCATGAAAGCCTGTGTTTTACGCACACATCGGTGTGTGTGTGTGTGTGTGTGTGTGTGTG